GGACAATCACCAAAATCCCCAAGCTGGTGGTTTGAAGCTTCCTAATTGGCCTTCTAGATAACGGGGCAAATAACAGAACAAGGTAAAGACCTTCAACAATATTATCAGCAGAAGTCATAGCTATTCCCCAGTTTACCGTGGAGCACAGATGTTGGAAAGTGGCACCTACAAATGAACTGGTAAATAATGGCTCCAACTTCACTGATTTGATCCTTTACTTCCTGCACTGTGATCCCTCTAGAGTTAACTAATTGGGTCTTCACTGGCCCCTTGGGATCCAAAAATAATTTAAAATCCCTCCAGGAACACAACATATCAGGGATTCTTCTGTGAGCTCATTGTGTTGACATCCTCAGAATCTTGAAGCACCTGCCATTGTCCTGTCCCGTGACCAGAACTAAACTTTGATTAGGGACTTGATGATTTATGAATCAGAGGGACTGAGAAGAAAGGAAAAGCTCCTTGAATTCAACCACAGCCACTGATAACCACACAGTAAGTTTCCAGGAGATAGGCAGTTGTCCACAAACATCCTCATAACTGTCGACATTTCCATAGCTCAGTATCTCCCTCTATATTTTCCCCGTTTCTAGGTATCACTCTCCCAGTCCCACAGCAAAATGCTTTTCAACCACATTCTACTTAGTTTATTAGTGTAGGCTACTAAAACCTTCTTAGACTAGAATAATAACAGGTTATATTTCCCCATGTTTTTCATTGGTTCCATCTTTTCTTGGTGATAGTGTCTTCAGGCTTGGTGTCCAGCAAGGCTCTATCATTAACCACTGGCTGGAAACCCAGCAAATGGGAGTTCTGTAGTCATTCAAATTCAAGACAAGGACTGATTTTCTTGCCTTTCAAACCCCTAGCAAAGTACCCTGCACATATCAATTGACAAGTATTAATCAACAACATTTAGGCACTGAGGATTCAAATACCAAGAAAGAAAAATAATCCTTACACACAAAGAGCTTATATTCTAACATGATAGATGTTTCATAAATATATAAAATTGAATAAATGATCATTCAACATTTTGTCCTAGGTAAATCTGCTTCCTGGTCCTTTCTTCCATTTTTAAAGCAGGGACCCTGTACTAAACCCATAAATAGATTTGGGTTATTTTAATATATAATGTGAAAGACTTATTGAAAGTTTTTTTCTAATCCTCTTCCTCATTATTGCTCACATTTAAATAGCACTTTACATTTGACAAGTAGTATACCTATCTCATCCCACATTATGTAAGTGTTATATCCATTTTACAGATCTAGAAACTGAGACCCAGAAAGATTAAGTGAATTGCCCAAGTGTATGTCTTTCAATGGTGGCAGGTTACACCTTCCAACATTTCTGCTCCATAGTTAACTGGAAAAGAGCTATTTTCCATTGATGGACTGGCCTGTGGTCAGATGACTAGTAAATGTCCAACTGGCAGATGAACCCAGGTCTTCTCATTTCAAATTCATTGTTTCTGAGCCCCACAATGCCTCTATCCCACTATGCTACTTCTTGGAATCTGACCAGCCTACCAGTGAGCAACAAAGGTTCTAACTTGAAACAGTGATTTAAAATAGTTCTAACTTAAAATAGTGATTCTCAAACGTTTTGGTCTCAAGATTCCTTTACAAGCTTAAAAAATTATTTAGGGTTTCAAAGAATTTTGTTTATATGGGTTATATCTATTAATATTTATCATATTAGAAATAAAAATGTTTTACTGGTATTACAAAAATTATTTTGACCTCATGGATCCCCTGAAAGGGTCTTGAGCACCCCCAGAGGTCCCCAGACCACACTTTGAAAACCAGTGACTTGAAGTGTTGTATAGTACTACATTTTCTACACAACTCCAGCCTCAGATACTGTGTGATCCTAGACAAGTCATTTAACTAACTCTGTTAGCCTCAGTTTCCTCATCTACAAAATAGAGGTATTAACAGCATAAATAGGATAAAATGAGATGATATTTATAAGTTTCTTTGCAAACCTTAATACCACATTTTTTATATTAAATGCTAATTATTGGTACTGGTGTTTTTCTTCTGTGAATTTATTCACTATGGTATAAGCTGCACCATTCATAGGCAATACAAAATGAGGCAAACCACTAAGGCACCGTGCTTTGAGGGGCTCCATGCTACTGGCACTGGGCAGTGAGTAAAGGAGACAGAAGCATCAGGGAAGCAGGGCACTCAAACAGTCTAGATCAACCATAATCAATTCTCAAAGCTAAAAGCCACATAGTGCTAGTAAGCACCTGAGGCTGTCATCTAATCAGCTCACCAACCACCCCCTATCACCAAGGCAGAGCCAAGATTCCTAACTCCATCACACACACACACACACACACACACACACACACACACACACACACACACACACACACACACTCCTCAGGCTATATATTGCCTTTCTGTAATTTCTTTCCTCCCTTCAAGACTCCAAATAGATTTTTTAACTTGAATCCCAAGGTCACAGCTCTAACAAATACGATTCAATCCACATCCTCTGACTCCAAATTCAATGTGCTTTCAAAACAACTCAAGTGCCACTTCCTACCCATAGCTCTTCTTGATGCCCTTCCCCCAAACTGAAATTATATGTATATAAATACAAAGTTTTTGTATTTAGTTATCTGTGTGCATGTTCCTTCCATTGCAGTAGAATATAAGCTTTGTGAGGGCCAGAGAGTGTTTTCATTTTTGTCTTTGTGTCACCAGCATATAGCACAGTGCCTAACACATAGTAGATGCTTTTAAAATGCTTGTCAGTTTGAGTTTCCACTAGCATATAAAATGAGCACGACAGTCAGTGGGTAGAGGGCTACAGGCCCTCCCAAACTGAGGAAGAACAAAGTCAAGAAATGCCATCTCCTATGACTAAAGTCAGCACATGATGGATTGTATGGGATTAACTCTCTCTGAAAATCTTCCCAGAAGTAACGTTTCCTACAATGTGGTTTAGAGATGGTTTCATGATAATATTAAGGTGTCTGACATCAGGAGGCAGCCAACTTCAATTGTAATTGGGGAAATCCAATCCTTAAACTTGTGAATTTTAAAATATTGAAATAAATGCAATCAGGGGGAGATGGGCAGAGACCTTCATGGTGTTTAGAGAATGATCTTAACATATGCACAAGAGACTTTTTTTTATCAGGGGAATGTTTTTTAAACTGAGTTTTGCTCTACAAGCTAAATGTGATTGGAGAATCACCATGCAATAAATACAGCAAGATCTTGTATTCTTTATGCCTTTCAGACAACTATATAATTGAAAATATAGTGTGTAATAGAAAATTCTTTGCAAAATCCTGCCACTTCCTTTTGTCAGTAACACAGTAACAACTTCTGTTGTCTTCCTTTTCTTGATCTATTTTATAAAACCATCCTTGAATGCTTTCAAAGTTATCACTTGCAGGTGATTACTAAAAGTCATGTAAAAGATTTTGCATGGATTTTCTTTGTTTGTACTTGGTCTAGTACAGATCTACTTTCCAATTTTAAATTCTAGGATAACATTTCTACTTTTAGGTGATATGGTTCCAATGAAGTGGTTCCATACTCATTTATGATAAAAAATCATTAAAAAAATGTGATTAAATCTGTTCCATTTTCCATCTACTTTTCCTTCTGCCATTTTCATCTTTAGAACACCAGGACAGCTAGGTAGTTCAGTGGATAGAAGAGTCAGAACAGCTTCAATACAAATCCAGCCTCAGATACTTATTTACTTTGTGCCTCCAGGCAAATCACTCAACTTCTATTTGCCTCACTTTCCTCCTTTGCTGAATGGAGATAATAAGAGCATGTGCCTCCCAGTGTTTTGTGAGGGTCAATTGGGATAACATTTGTAAAGCAGTTAGCACAGTATCTAGCACGTAGTAGGCACTATAAAAATGTTAGCTATTATTATTATTGAGATGATGTGGCTCAGCTGAGTCATATGCCAAGATTTCTATATACCTGTTTTTGCTCTCAATGCAGTTTGTTGTTTTATAATCCCATACTGTTTGTAATCTTCCATCATCCTTCTCCATGGCATTTTGTATAGACATTTGTGTTATAAACCAATATTGTCCTTGGCTTGGCAAGGACATTGAGTGTTTGCTGCAGTTACATCCAAGGTTTTCTTTTCGTTGTTATTCTTTCTTCTAATTTGATGTTGATTTTGAGCTTTGATCTAACCATTATTATTAGGTGTTATTTTTGCTTATACTCACCATAAGCACAAGATTGTCCCATGAAACAATTTTTGTTACTGCTTTTCAGGACACTATAAACCAAGTCCTTTATTCATACTTCCAATCTCTGAATCACCCTTTAATTTGCTCTCTTTATAAAATTTCTATTTGTCTTCTGGTTTCATTTATCATGGGAATGGCAATTTTGATGTTCATAGTATGTCATTGGACATTGTCATTTTCTTTGTCAGAACACAAAGATCTCACTCACATATAAAATATCAAAAATTAAATTACTATTTACAGATAGTCTAAATGCCTTCTGCCTTCTTTTGTCATCACTGTACCACCATCACTGTGAAAGCAAAAGGGAGATCACACAGCACTGGGGGATATTTTTTTCAGTGGGTTGACATTGCCAAACAATTCATCATTTAGTGTTCAACCTACTAATGGTGAGCACCTCCAAATTTAGCCAGTTTGGGCCTTGGACAGCAGACTCAATCATTCAGAAATATATACAAATCTTTCTAGCATCATAGAGTTTGCCAGAACTTATGTTCTGTTTATACAACCTTCAAGAACCCAGTCTCTCCTCCACAATATAAGATATTAGGATAGGATTTTTTGGAAGAAAAATAGCAACAACTATCATTTACATAGTCTTTAATGTCAGTCAGTCAATAAACATTTATTAAATGCCTAATAAATGTGTTAAGCACTGGGCAAAGCACTGGATGTTTTACATAGTGCTTTCCTCACAAGAACCTTGGGAGCCATTTAATATTAGTATTATTATTCTCATTCTACAGATAATAAAACTGAGACTCAGAATGATTGAGGAAAATTGCCCAGTGTCACACAGTAAGGGTTGGAGCTAGGACTTGAACCTTGGTCTTTCAATCTCTAAGATCACTAACCTTTCCACTATGCCACATATTCTGGTCACCAGAAAGTCATATGCCTCATTGCAAATGAATAAATTGACCTTTTAGTTTTATCAATCAATCATTTGTGTCATAATGAATCAAAGACTAAGGGTCTCAAGTGTATTCCATTCCTTCAGTAACAGAATGCTTATAGAGAGGCATATCATCAGAAAGTTGTCCACCAGGTGATGAATGTTTTCAGCTACAGAAACTCACAGTGAAAATCTCCTGTGGAATGGAAGGGGCATGTAGTGTGCTTGAATGGAGCAAGTACTGACAAAATCAAATTCTTGAAATATTGAATTGAAGTAAGGAAAAACCCTACTCTTAGGCAAAGTAATTCTAAAAATACTCCCTAACGAATATTGTTTTATTCCTGCTTACTATCTCTCTGCCTAAGAGAAGACATAAATTTTCCCCTCAAAATTCCCATCCTTATATTATGGTTTTTTTTCTCTAGTTCCTCCTCACCTCCAAACCAGTGATTTGATGTTGCAATCTATTGCCATCTTTCTCTAACTCCTCTTCATCTCAAGCTTTGCTATATGCCTTGGTCATTCTCCAGGTGACACTACTCCAGGGGATGGAGAGAACTAACAGCACTCAACTGACAGAGTTCATCCTGACAGGGATCCCTTACCAACCCAAGCTAAGGACATTCCTCTTTTTATTCTTCCTTGTCATCTACATTCTGACACAAATGGGCAATCTACTTATCTTCCTCACAGTCTGTATCGACCCCCAACTTCATGCCCGCCCTATGTATATCTTCCTTGGTGTCCTGTCCATCATTGACATGGGAATCTCCTCCATCATTGTTCCACGGCTCATATTGAACTTCACTGCTAAGATTAAGCCTATCCCATTTGGTGGGCGTGTAGCTCAGCTCTATTTCTACCACTTCTTGGGCAGCACCCAATGCTATCTTTACACTCTGATAGCCTATGATAGATACTTGGCTATATGTCGACCCCTGCACTACCCTGTACTAATGACCTTGAAGATATGTTCCTTGATGGTAACTGGAGCATGGGTAGCTGGCTCTATCCATGGTGCTATCCAGGCCACACTCATTTTCCGCTTACCATACTGTGGTCCCAACCAGGTAGATTATTTTTTCTGTGACATCCCTGCAGTACTAAGGCTGGCCTGTGCTGACACAACCATTAATTGAGCTGGTGACTTTTGTGGACATTGGAGTGGTAGTTGCCAGTTGCTTCTCTCTAATCCTGCTCTCCTACATACATATAATCCAAGCTATCTTAAATATCCACACGGCTGATGGGAGACGTCATGCATTCTCCACCTGTGGAGCCCATGTGACTGTGGTTACAATTTACTATGTACCCTGTGCCTTTATCTACCTGAGACTGGAAGCCAATAGCCCCCTAGATGGAGCAGCTGCTCTGTTCCTCACAGCTATCACTCCTTTCCTTAATCCCCTGATCTATACTCTGAGAAACCAGGAGGTAAAGTTAGCCCTGAAGTGAATGGTAGGAGACTGAAGGGGTATGAGTAAGAACTGAATGATTCTGTTCTCATTGAGACTCACTCATATTTCAAAGATTTGAGTATTAAGTGTTAGTGAATTTATTGAAGGCAAGCATACCAATAAAAAATCAGAGACCTATGATACACATTTCGGCCAAAAAGGAATGAAATAAACATTTTCAGCTTTAAGCAAAATTGCCTCTCCTTCTGTTGAGCTTTCATATTGCTAAATAAGTGTCATTAAAATATGGTGTTTGGTCAATGTGCTTAATAGCCAATTTAACAATTGTGCTATAACTGCTTTTTTCAGTATGATGAAGCAATATAAATTGTTCATTTTAAAACCCTTGTTGTGGTTTTGGCTTAAATGTTGTTCAAAATGTAATGATCTGTAAAAAAAAAAAAGTTCTTTGATAAATTATTTATAAAGAGCTCTCTTGCTAATGCAGTCTACTTACTAGGCCAGGGAACCATCTACAAAGTGTGCAATGTATAAACCTTGCTCTTCTTGCTTTTAAATTTCATATAATACTTGGCAGAGAGTTAGAAGCTGAAAATTTCCTGTGTAGGAGGATTCTGTCTTGTAAAATACTTCCATGTCTGTCCTGTAAGATACTTCCAAGGTCCCTACCATCTCATACAATTAATCCATGCAAGTCTTCTTCTCTATACCATCCCATAAATCCTCCATAGACAATCCGCCCAATGTACTTAAAGCTTTCCTCTAGATATTTTAATATTTTGTAGACAAATTTAACATTTTGTGGTCACCTAAGCTATCCATCAATTATCTTTCATTATTGTTACATGACCAGCTCACATATATGATGATGTAAGTCATTCACAGTTCTTCATCGTGTAATATTGCTATTGCGGTGTACAATGTTCTTCGCTCACTTCATTTAGCATCATTACATGTAAATCTGGCTGCTGCTTCTGCTCTGTTTCTTTCCCAGAGCCCAGGGATCTGAGATGGTGATTACTAGCCTTGGCGTCAGCCTTGTGTGTTTGAGAAATCAGGAGCTCTTGTATCTGGGTGCTGGTTACTCAGAAGGAGGTGACCACCGAAACAGCTTCTGGAAGAAGACAATCACAGGCAAGAGCATGAGCTCAAGCTATGACCTACTAGCCAAAAGATATGGACTTCAAGTGAGTTGCTCAGACAGTGCAGAGCCTAGGTGAAAATTAAATTTCCATTCAACACTTCCAGAAAATGTGCCATATTTTAATAGTTTAAGTTTTGACCTACTGGGAGGACATAATAGGAATTAAGGGTTACTGCTTCATGTTTTGAGGACTCATCATTATGCGCTTATGAATTACTTTAGTAATGATAGCTAACGTTTATATAGCACTTACTGTGTGCCAGGCACTGTGCTAAGAGCTTTACAATCATTATCTCATTTGGTAATGAATGTGATATCAAAACAATAATTATCTATAAAAAAATTTTAAAGGAGTCCAATATACACCAAAATATTTATAGCAACATTTTTGTAATATCAAAGAATTATGTAAACAAAGATGCTCATTGAGTAGCTAAAGTAATGATACATAAATATGATAGAATTTTACAATGTTGTAAGAAATGATAAATATAATGAAACCAGAAGCATGAAGAAGAATTATGTGTAGTGATACAAGATGAGGTAATCAGAACCAAGAAAACATATACAACTACAACCATGTAAATTGGAGAAAATGTTTTTTTTTTAAAGATCAAAACTAAATGCTGTGAAATCATAATCACCAAGCTTGGCCCCAAAGAGGAAATATGATATGGCACCTCCCTTTACTTCTAGGTAGAGACATGGGAATATGAACACCACATATAATGTCCAATTTTTTCAATATGTTGGTTAATTTTGTAGAACTGGTTTTTTCCTCCTCTTTTAAATTTTTTCTTGTTATAAGATATGGCTCTTTTGGGATTGGAAAGTAGGGGAAAGATACATTGGTGACATAAAACCAAAAGATATCAATAGTTTTTAAAGGGGCACATAAACATTCTTGGCTTGGTCATAGCCACCCCATTCACTTCAAATATGTCCCCTTTATTGTGGCTGTGGCCTTTCTTGTGTTCCCAAAGGGCATGGAACATTTCTTCTATTTCTTTTTTATCTCTCCCCCTCTCAATTCCCCTTTCCCATAATACTATTTCATTATGGCATTTGTACAGCATGCTTTATACCATAAGAAATAAATCTTGTTAACTAATTAGAAACTTGAATATTTTTATTTAATTTGGCTTGGGATGTAAAGTAAGAATAACAGAAAATTAGCACTAGAGAGACCTTTTAGACCCATTTAGGGTTTTCTTGGCAAAGATACTGAAGTGGTTTACCATTTCCTTCTCCAGCTCATTGTGCACATGAGGAAACTGAGGCAAACAGGGTCAAGTGATTTTCCCAGGTCACACAGCTATTAAGTGTTTGAGGGCATATTTGAACTCAGGAAGATGAGTTTTCCTGACTTCAAGTCCAGCACTCCATCCATTATATCACCTAGCTGTCCCAATAATAGGAAATTACTGGAGTTTATTCAATATAGGAGTAACATGATCAGAATTGAACTTTAAGAAAACTGCTTTGGCGGCTAAGTGGAGGTTGGATTGGAGTGGAAAGAGACTTGACAGTAGGAGACCGCTTGGCATGCTCTTGTAATACTAGTACAGTCAGTCAGTCAGAATTTATTAAGTGCCTGCTATAGGCCAGACACTGTGCTAAGCACTGGAGATACAAAAAGAGGCAAAAGAAAGTCTTCCTCCTCAAGTATCTCACAATCTAATGGAGGTGACAACAAACGAACAAATATGTACAAACAAGCTATATATAGGTTTATTAGGAAATAATTAAGAGAAAAGGATCTACAATTAAAAGAGGTTAGGAAAGTCTTCCTGAAGAAGATGAGATTTTAGCTGAGAATTGAAGGAAGCCAGGGAAGCCAGGAGGTGGAAAAAGAGGCCAGATGAGAGGTAATGAAGGACTAGGGTGGTGGCTGTGTGGGTAGAATGAAGGGGGGGCACAGTGTAGGAAAGAAATGTTATGAAAAGAGAGATGACAAGATCTGGCAATTGACTGGATATGTGGGTGAGTGAGGAGTCAAGAAGAGCACTGAAGTTGTGACTGGATCAATGCATACTCAACAGTAATTGAGAAATTAGGAAGAAGGGAAGGTTTTAAGGGAAAGATATTCAGTGGACATGTTGAGTGTCAGATGTAATTCAAACACCAAATTTAAAATGTCCAAAAGGCAGTTGGGTAACACTGGACTGGAACTCAAGAGAGAGACTAGGTAGGTCCAGTTATGAAGATCTGGGAGTAATCTGCATAAGGATGATACAAGAAATCATGGGATTTAATGAGGTTTCCCAAAAAGGGGGATACACCCACAGTTGAGAGTGTGGCATGGATAATCCAACAAAGGAAAATTAGGAGCAGTTATATAGATAGGAGGAGAACCAAGAGAGAACATAAAAACTCAGAAGAAAAAGTATCCAGGAGAAGAGGGTATCCAACACCATCAAATGCTTCAAAAAGGCTGAGAAATTATAAGTGTTAATAAAGAACCATTAACTTTGGCAATTAGGAGGTTATTGGTAATTTTGGAGAGATCAATTTCAATTGAGTGATGTCAGAAACCAAAATTCAGAGGTTTTCAGAGTAAGAGGAGAAAAAAAAAGGATAACTTTTCAAGTCTTTCAGCCGTTGATCTGTGTGCACGTTTTTCCCCATGTCCCTGCCAACATTGATTTTTTCCTATCTTTTACAATTTTAATCAATTTGAAGGGTGTGAAGTGAGATCTCAGTCTTAATTTACCTTTCTCCAATTTTTAGCAATTTTGAGCACTTTTTAGATGATCGTTGAGAGTTTGTAGTAATTTTAAGATCTGTTCATATCTTTTTACTAATTGCCTATTGCCTGTTTTTAAACTGTGTTAATCCTCTCATTATGACTTTTATTAAAGATATTTTATATGATCCTATAATCAGTATTTTTTCCACTTTACCTGTCTCACAGGATATAAGCCTTAAAGGCATGTTCATGTCTCATTTTATATCACGTGGCACAGTAATAGGCACATAATAGGTCACTCACTTCAAATTGATTGGTCATTATAAGCTAGAAGAATCTGGTCAAGCTCTCTCACCTTACAGATTAAGAAACAGAAGCCCAGAAGTAGGTCATCACTGAAGGTCACACAGGTACTAGTAAGTAGCAGAGATGGTATTCAAATTTAGAAATCATAGGATTCCAAGTTCAGTGTTCTTTCTACTACACCAGGGCAAGCTTCAGGGAGACATTTGAGCTGGATCTTGAAGGAAAAAAATAAGATTCTGATCACAGGAGAGGCTAAGGGAGTCAAGTAAAATAGCATTGATTTTTTTCAAAACAACCTTATGAGAAAGAGAGTGATGTGATAGTGTCCCCATTTTATAGATATGGTTCTTAAATAGGTTAAATGACTCATCTGTAATAACACAGGAAAAATCAATTAGGAATCAAGACCAGATTTCTTTAGTGTACTTCTATGGAAGGCAGGCAGGCAGGAAGGAAGGAAAGAAGGAAGGAAAAGAAAGGAGGGAAGGAACAACTTATCAAGTGCTTAAAATGTGCCAGGCACTATGCTAAGCACTGAAGATAAAAATACAAGCAAAGAGAAAAACAATCTCTCCCCTCAAAGAGCTTACATTCTAATGGGGGAATAAAACACAGAGAAGAAATTGAAAAGTGGGCAGTGTGGAGGAGCAGGCAACGAGGTGAGCATGATCATGAAGTCCAGAGAAAGTAAGGAACAGGGTAGAAAAATGACACTCTAGCCTCAGTTCCTCAATAAAACAGAAATTCTTGAGGATGGGAGAAGCTGGGAAGGCCTTAATAAAGAAACAGTCTGAGGTGAGTGGTTTGAAATTGTGGTAGGTTGTTCCAGGATGAGGAGGCCCTAGGCAAAGACGGATGAAGCTGGATGTTCCAGGATATGCAGGGAGTAGAAGGATCATGGTTTTGACTGATGTGCTTAGGAAGATGGTGGTATTCTCAACAGTCTTAGGGAAGTTAGAAACACTGGGTTTCAGGAACAGTGAGGGAACCAAACTGGCTAAAGTGTTCTAGTATGATTAATTTAAATAATAAAAATCAGATTCTTAGAATCAGGGAGACCATCAACAGACTATTGCAATTGTTCAGGTGTGAGGTGATGACGGCCTACACTAGATGGTTGCAGTGTCAGAGGAGAGAAAGGAACATTTATGAGAGATGTTACAAGGGTAGAAATGACAAGTTGACCACTGATCAGATAAGAGGGAGGGGATAGTGATGAAAGAAAGTAAAGAGTAAAAGATGACCCTTGGATTGTGAACCTGGTTGACTGGAAGGATGGTGGTACCCTTGATAGTAACAGGGAAGTTGGCAAAAATGGATAAGCTTTTAGGGAAAGATAATGAGCTCAATTTTGGACATAATGAGTTTAAGATGTCTACAGGACATTCATTTCTACATGTCCAACAAGTAGTTGGAGATAAGACTGGAAGTTAGAAAAGAGGTTAGGACTGGACAGGTAGATCTAGGAATCTGCATGGAGATGATAATTAAAGTTATAAGAGCTGATGAAATCAACAAGTAAAATAGAGAGGAAGAAGAAAAAAGGATCCAGGACAGACCCTAAGGGGTACACACAAGGTGATGACCTCGATGAAGATCCAACAAAAGAAACTTATAAGGACAGGTCTTACAGGCAGGAGGAGAACCTAGAGAGAACAGAATATCAAGAAGAGGGTGATTGACAGTATCAAAGGCTGCAGGGAGATCAAGAAGGATGAGAAATGAGAACAGGCCATTTGATTTGGCAATTGAGAGCATTAGTAACTTTGGAGTAGAAGTTTCAGATGAATGTTGAGGTTGGAAGCCAGACTAGAAAGAATCTAAAAGAGAGTTAGAGAAAAGGATATGTAGGAGATCTTAAGTAGTTTAAGATTTTAAATTTATTTAAGATCTAAATAGGAGGCAATATTTAAGTATAAGACAATAGCTAGCTGGAATGGATGGATCAAATGAGACTTTTCTGAGGATGGGGGAGACATGGGCATGTTTGTAGACAGTAGGGAAGCATACAGAAGAAGCATACAGGGAGAGATGAAAGATAAGTGAAAGAAGACCATAAAGAAAGGGGGGGAAAGAGAAACTTTAGTGGGAAAGTAGAGAAGGGAGAAAACTATAAAAACAGTAAATGATCACAGGGCAGGAGAGAGAGAAGAAACCAGAAATAATATGGTGATCCTTAGAAATATCACAGGTAAAAGTCTGTGTTATATACTTTAATATTTCAAGTCACCATTCTTCCAACTAATAATGCAGATCATAAACCCATCCCTTAGAAAACTATTTGTTTTGGCCAAACAATTCACTGCCTGGTGGCCAATTCTCAGCTATATTCCATAGTTCTTCAAATATTAAATTATAATTCTTCAAATATCAAATGTTAAATATAGTTCTTCAAATAAAAAAATGTGAAAGTCCAGGGCATAAAAGGTCTGACTTTTAAAGGAATAATTAGGAAATTATTTAGCCATATCATGAAAGGATTCTTAAATTGATAGGATTCCCAGAATCTTCAGTTCTTTTAAATACCGAGCATCTCTGGTAAACATTAAAGTGTTTTCAGAGGTTTCCCCCCTTTCTTTTATAGATGATCAACTGTTTGATAGGCTTGGGAGGGCTGAGAAACTTTAAACCAAGTTTGGGAAAGCCTAGGGAAGTAGGATAGCACAGTACCTTTGGAGTCAGAGGACCTGGGTTCAAATTCTACATCTGACACGTTACCCATATGACTCCCATAGACAAGTCACTGATCTCTGGTTTTCAGTTTTCTCAAAATTTGTAATATGAGGGTGCTGGGCTAGATGGTCTCTGAGATCCCTTTCAACTCTAGATCTGTGATCCTATAATTGTTTTACTATTAAGGGCCTCTGATCCCATTGGGAGAAAAGAAATTAACTGAGAGCCACAGAACCATTTTTTCCTCTTGGAAAAATAGGAAACATTCAAATTCAATAAAAACATGGACAAGTACCTGTTAAGCATAATTAAAGGACAGAATCAGATAAAGTAAAGGAAATTTATACTTTCATCATTCTATCTTCCTGAAATTCTTTCCCTTCCTACTTCCCAACCATTCCCATCATTTCTACTCTTCTGTTTATCTAAAATCATGCTATTCTTTCTTTATGGTCTAGTTCAATTGCTTCTTGCTCCATGAAATGTACCCCACCACTGCACCAGCCTTTAACTTTCTAGTCCCTGTAGCAATACTATTATTCATACCACTCTTTCCCTTTGTATAGCTCTCCCTGTGAGTTGAGATAAAGGATTTGAGTCTCCAAAGAATAGCTGCTACTTCAATGTTCTAGGGTACACTGTGGATCTAGGAACTGGATGATGAACCCCCTAGGAAGCTCTCCTAGGCCATGGATCATTTTTTTTACTCCCATTGCTCCCCTCTGACTCAGAGAGGTGCTTATATTTTGTTTAAAAACAAATAGTAGGGGGGCAACTAGGTGACGCAGTGGATAGAACACCAGCCCTAGAGCCAGGAAGACCTGAGTTCAAATCCGGCCTCAGACACTTGACACTTAACTAGCTGTGTGACACTGGGCAAGTTACTTAACCCCAGTGCCTAGTCAAAAAACAAAAACAAACAAAAACAAATAGCAGGATGCTAATATTTTTTTAACACATTAAATCTTCATAGACTCATGGAATCATATATTTGGAACAGGAAAAGACCTTGAGAATCATTGAGTCCAACCATCTTGTTTTACAGATGAGGAAACTGAGACTCAGAAAGGTTAAATGACTTACTCAGAGTCATGCTAGCCCACACTGCCTCTCTTTGAATATATCTGTGAGTAGTATATTCTGTGAATCCTTCCCTTATACTTGTATTTTTTACCTTTTTATGCATATGATATATGCACTTCACTTCAACTGACCTTGTCCCCCTAGGGTTGAAACTATGTCTAATAAATCTGTTCTCCTAAGACCAAATACATAGCATATACTCAATAATGTGTCCTATGTGGACAGTTTTTCTTTTTTTCAAAGTGTCTTGAAGCAGCTGTGGTATGTTACTATTATCTATGAAAACTACTGGCACAACTGTTCATTCAGCTAAGTCTGTACAGTCTCCAGCTTTTTACCTAGTAGGTACTGGGTTCTGTGTTTTGAATTTAAGGATATAGCTTAATTTTCTCACAAAGTTCATGGGTCTTTTGCTTCATGTTGTTCCCACCCACTTGCAGTCCTTGACTTGCTTCCCTTCTGAGACCCAAAATATGCACACATTTGGCTTATACGTTATATGGAATTTCCTACCAGTAAATTTAAAATAAAATGCAATAATGTTGATAGCTGAAGTGGCTGAATGGGGAAGAATCATAGGTGTTACACATTGCATGTTATTATAAGTTGTGCTGATTGTCAAAGATTCACATTGCAAGCTTCTCTCATATTTTAGCCACCTTTTTCTCTCTTGTTAAATATATTTAATCTGTGGTGTAAATAAAACATAATGCTTAGGAAGGCAAGTGAGGAAAGTCTTAGGATAGCTATAAATGTGATCACTATTGCTTCTTGAATACTAAGTCACTTCCCCTACCCAGAATACCATCCCCTGTAACAAAGAATACAAAAAGGAGAAGAAAAAGTCAACAAAATTAACCATTGGAAGTAAGATAGAGAACTGTAGTCTGAATGATTTAAAGGGGAAAAAAAACCATATTAGATGAATACATAACTGTTTGCATTGTACACAGAGCACGAGTTAATGGATTGATACTAACCTAGAAGGAATTTTACTATACCATATCACAAGGCTCTATACTTGGACATGACATATTTCTTTTTACTAAAGATTTAGAATAAATACATAGCACAAATAAAAAATTTATTAGATGAAATGAAGCTGGTAAACAAAGTCCAAGTTCCTGAATAAGAATTTTGTGCCAGTGCCAGGCTCTGCCCCATCCTACACTCTTGGATGAGAGGTATGGGTCTTGATCCTATCTCTGGTGCGTTCTGGATGATGCTGCCACTATCCTGCTACAATTCTTGATAAAATGGCTGAGTCCTGGTACCTCCTGCTTTTTTCTGGCCTGAGGTAGAAAGCTTGCTTAGGAGCTGACAAGGCTGCCTTCTGCCTCAATCCCTTTCCCTGTGCTCTGCCTCGACTTCCTAGACGTTCCATGAGTACACTGCCTTCAACCTTATCTCCACCTCCATTCTCTACTGTTACCCACTGGGATTAACTTTGTTCGCTGGTTTGAGTCTATATATCAGAAATCTTGCTGCTTCAGGGTACTGTGAGGGCCCCATGTCTTCCATTGCCTGGGTGCCTCTGTCCCATTTCCATATCCTTGGCTAGTCAGCTACTGGAAGTTGACTTTGTCTCCTGCTATGACGTGGATAAGTCAGAATCCCAGATCTCATTGACTTCAACAGAGGATTTATCAATAATATTATCACACTGGCTTCAGACTTCACTGAAGAGCCCCCTTATCAATATACCCACAGTCTCCTGACTGATTGCTTGTGCAGTCCTGGATGTAAGAAGGATCTTCCCAGCATTTTTTCTTTTTCAGTTTTGCTGGAGTGTCTCAGAGAAAGTACACTTGACTATAACCTTTCCAGAGGTCTCAAAGGCTTTCTGGTGGAAGAATTTTTCGTGCTCCATGCAGTCTATGGGTTTCCACTTCTGTTAACAGGGAGGTAGATTTTTGGCTCAACATAAGGAAGAACTTTCTAGCAACCAAAGCTGTCCAATGACCAAGGTCTATCTTGTGAGATAGCAAATCTCTGTCATAGATCCTATAGGGAGGATTTCTGTATAATGTAAAACTTTTATGGTCCCTTTCAGAGTCTAGAATAATATATTAGGCATATCAATTATATTATATGAACTATTTTAGCAAGTATTGACTTCTGGAGGTCAAAATCTAATATATTTTTAGTAACCATTCAGAGCACCTAGCACAATATTACTGAGCCCTCAGGAAATACTATTTTAGAATGCCAAAAGGGGAATTAAGAAAAATGTCTTAGAATATGCTGTATAGAACAACACAGCATGGAATAGGGTAGAACAGACCAATATTCCTTTTTTTCTTCTCTGATTTCCAGGATTTCTAATGTTGGACAACCCCAACAACATTTGTCCCATAATAATTTTTGAAGTGTAAGTCACTGTCTGAAGTCTGTTTGGTAGAGGAATTTGACTTGGACCCTTAGATTCTATGAAGTAGCTTCTGCTGAGGAAGTTGGAGAAACTATTGGTAAAGAATGTAAGATCTCTGCTTTTTCACTCAATTCTATGATCTGGATTGAACTATCTTTCTTTGAAAGCCAGAATGCAGGGTAGACTGGCTCAGCAAAATCACAGTTAAACCTATGAATCAGAACCATAGTATCAAACTCAATCCCATAGAAGGAGAGAATGTTCCGTACATAGTTCAAGTAGATCCCAAGCCTCTGGAATTGACCAACCCCCAGTGCAGTCTCAGAGCCACTGTGCCAGGCACTAAACTCCTTTCCGTTCCAGTGGATACTCCAAGAAAAGCTATTCCCTGAGATACAACTATTACTCTCTGAGCCCTTTGGGTCTATGTTCTTATTAGTCACGCCAATATAAACACCTTCTCCTTTGATCTCCAGTTCAAAATAATATTGGTTTAAGTACAGACTCTGCTTGGAGAGCACTTGTCTCCAGTGCTCAAATCTGCTAGGATGGTCTGGGTATGGGTGTTGCCAGGGAGAGGTATTCGTGACTTTGTGGTTGTCCTCCTGAAGCCTGAGATACCTATGAGCTGTGTCAGGATCAAACGTGATGGGGTAGGCATCTAAAGAAACACAAGATAAAGGAGAGTGATTAAGAAGACATCAACAATCAAGGGAATACATCTTCCAAAACAGCTGACCACAGACACAAATAAAACACAAAGTCCCCCCTGTTTTCTAGTCAGACCCATACTCAGGTTATGGTTTCACCAAACAGGATAGGGAAAAAGTAGAAGATGAAAAAGTATTCATTTACTTCCTAATCTCTAGGTTTTTGACAGCTAAACCATTCGTTAAATATGAATAGTGGCTTGACAGCTGTTTGTTGATGAAAAGCTTGGAAAAGATTTCACGCTGTAAGTCATCTTTGTTTAAAGAAAAATGGCTATGGAAATGACCCCTATTAAAGCTTTGAGACAGAAGCCCCAAAGCCTCATAGTTAATAGACTTTGAGCAGTGAGAGTAATCAACTTTAAGAGTTAAATAACTGGCCAAACCTTTCTCGAGAGCTTGCTAAGACCCAAGTCAACACACCTGAAATTCACCATATTTAGCAAAATAGGTTGTGTTTATATTAAATCAATTTCAATCACTACTCAGAAAAAAATTAATCTTTTTCTACAAAAGGTACAGAAAATTAATCTTTTTCTTATTGCTTGACATAACCTTATTATATAAGCTTCACAACTTATACTAGATGGAGGGAGGAAAAAGGGAAGGAGGGAGAGGGAGAAAAAGGCAAAAGGAGGGAGAACAGATTTAATTTGTCGGAAGGGAAACAATTCAGGAGTGCAAACCCTAGAACTAAGCACTTAATAAGTTTGAGTGGGCTGGACAGGTTCGTTATTAAAAAATAATGTTGATCAGTAGTTGATCACAGATTGGGAAAAATATCAATTGAGGGACACCATACAAGAAAAAATATAATTTATTAACTTTGGAAGGCAAAAACTACCAAATGTCCAATTTATCCAATAAAATTAAGAATGGGGTGAAAATTTTTCATTTTATAAATAAAATCATGTTTGTGTGTGCATATGTTTCACATGACAGTTGGTACTACTAATATCTGATTCCAAAGCCTTATCACAGTATGGAAGTGATACTAGGTTCTTCAAAGACTAAGTTAACAGAGTTCCAGTTCTAGCCGTCTTTAAGTTTAAAAAGTCATCTATTTGTATTAATTCTTTTTGTCTTCACATCACATTCATTTCCAAATATATATCTCTTCCTTATCCCTACTTAGCAGGCATTCCTTTGTTACAAAGATTTTAAAAGAATTTTGAGGAAAATCAGCAAAACAAGCAATACATCTACTATGTCTGTCAGTAAATGCACTATTCCACATCCAAAGTCCTCCAGCTCTGTAATGAAGGAGGTAGGGTACATTTTTTCAACTCTCCTCCACAGTCAAATCTGGTCATTACAATGTCATGCATTCAGTTTCCTTTTTCTTGTTCTTTCCGCTTACCTCTGTGAACAGCCAGAGGAATCTATAGCCCCACTCTCCTAGGCATAGTTCCTATTTTACAATGCTAGTACATTTAAGGTTCAACCACATCAAGTTCTAGTTAAAACAAGTTGTTGAAACTCTCCTAAAAGTTTGCTGATGTGGCATAGTTTTAATTCTACCTTCCTCATCCTGAGCAGGCTTTCCTGGATAACATTGAAAGAATTCTTTTTGCTACAATCTATGTTCATGGACCCCACTTCCCCACTGGCAAGTCAAAGCTGTCATGGTGAACCCTTCATCTGAAAATTCCAGTGGCTCTACACCTTCGGCTAGAGTACACATTCCACTGCTCATTTGTCACTTCTTATAGCACAGTAAAAACCCATTAAATTGATAAAGTGCAATTTTCTTAGGTATTCTCCAATCTCTGAGTACCTAAATTATTTCCACGTTCTGGTAAAACTTAACTAAAAGTTTTGAGTTTGGGTTAATATGGCAGTCCTCTAAGGACTGGCCTAAGTGTGGACAGGCTCATGTTGGCCACATGGTGGCTCCCTTTCTTCAGTGATTCCCTATTACCCCTGAGATCAAATACAAATGCTTCTCTTTAGCATTTACAGCCCTTCACAGCCTGCCTCTAACATCATTTCCAGGCTTTGCACTAGCTGTCCCTCAAGCCTGAAATGCATTCCTCTCCTTATCTTCATCTTTTAGAATTCCTATTCTCCTTTAAAGCTCAGTTCAAATGTTATCCAATCCCCAACCCACCCCTACCCCCAGTTCTCATTCTCTCTGAAATTATTTTGCATATGTTTTGTATATACTTATATGTGTGTAACTCCATATCAATAATGAGTGCTGCTGAGATTTATAGTTTTTCCTATCTGGAAAGAGATTAAAGGATCATAAGCAACATAAGGAAATTTCAGAACTTTGTAGTTCGGTGGTGAGGAGTACGCCCTGGCTGGTTATAAGACAACAATGGGAGCTGATTGCAAGTGAAGATCCCTATAGCCAGAAATGAATATAATTACGAGCAATTTTAGCCTTGTCTGGCTCACTAATCTACTTCAGGAATGATCTGCCTGGACAGAACTTACTGTTTGCCTGAATACCTACCTCACAACTACTGAGAACAAACAAATTTATCTACTGTCAAGTATTATGTCCAGTTAGGGAAGAGGGAAAGACATGGAAAGAGGAAGAAAAGAAGGAAGTAAAAAGAGTGGGAAGAGAAAGAGAAAAAAAAGAAAGAAAGAAAGATAGACCTACAGGAAGCCAGAACAAATGAAGAAGGAGAGACAGGGGAACAAAGATAATGACACACACAGTCACACATACATATAAAAAGACAGTAAGAACAACATTTGTACATAGTGAAAGTCTCAGAGACTAGCTTTCATTTATCAAAAAAAAAAAATAGTATATGACCTCAGAATTAGAAGGGACCTATAAGGTCACCGAGTTATACCTCACTGCCCAAAACACAAATCCCTTTTGCAGTATAGGCTACATTCCCTCACCCCCAGTAACAAGGAACTCATTTTCTAATAATACAGTCTATTACATTTTCTGACAGTTCAAATTGTTAAAAAGTTCTTCATAGGATTTGGAACTGGAAGGCACTTTAAAATCCTTTACAGACTTACTAAACTGATAGATCAGGTTTGTGTTGTACATATAATTTAATCAGATTTAAGTGAAGCTTTAGATAAAGTATTTCATGCTGTTCTTGAGGGAAATATGTGAGGTAGAATAGGGGTATCCAAAAAGGAGGTTCTATACCCAAGTGCCTGTGTTATGACTCTAAGAACTGTGAGATCAACACACTCTCACTAACCTCAGCTATAATCACCCAATATTCCCCCACTTTGTCCTCCCCAAATTCCCAACCCCTTCCCTTATGTTGTCAACACTTTGGGATGATTACAATGACTCAGGAATCCACAACTGCTGTTTGCAAAATCATCTCCTTCCCCCAGCATGCTCACAGCCTAGTATTCAGATGACCTCATGGCCACAGCAAGCACTCCTTGGCTGGCTCTGAACTCCCAGGCAGTTTATAGTGAATAAGAGCCTCACTCCCCTCCCTTTTGCTTCTGATATGATGGAGTAAGTTGCACAGGATGAGTAGGCATGAATGTGTTGTGATACACATCACAGAACTCATTATCTTTCTTCTTAAACCCACCCCTCTTTTGTAGTTCCCTTTTTCTGTCCAGTCACCAGTTATATGTGATTCTTCCAGTCTAGTTCTAATTTAAAATATTATAACTATACATTTAAGCAATTTGAGAAGCATGCTATTCAAAACAACTTACATTTGAGAAAATCAACTCTGCAGCTAGGTTCAGGTATTGAAGTCCGGTAATTGTGGGGCACAACTGCAGACATTTCAGTATTTATCTCATACTCTTCTGAAAAATGAATACAGGCCGGTTAGTTGGATTGTCGGAGGAGCCTAAGAAATCTAATCTCCCTGGGCAGTTATTTTCCCTCTATTGCTAATGCCTCACATTTTAATGGAATGGGACAAATATCCCAGCAAGCTCAGTGGCTAAACTTTTAGGGAAGTTATTTTTCTCCAGAGCAAAGTGATTTGCTAAAGATCCTAAAGGGTTTTTTGGGGGGTTTTTTGTTTGTTTGTTTGTTTTTAGATTTGGATGAAGTAGAGGGTTAATTTGTTTGAGGTATACATCATTGAGTGGGGCATCAGAAAACTGAGAAGTTAGCTTTAGCAAGTGTTGGGCAATGGAGAGCAAGTCACTTAACCTCTCAGGAACCCTGGACCATTCCATAAAGCTATAATTTTGATATGAATAACAGATATCCTTTGGTAAAATTACATAGTAGGAGTTCTCCACACTTTTGAAATAGGAGATCTGAAAAAAAGAGGAATATCAATGAATCAAGAATTTGACTGATAAACCCTTTTCTCTCAGGGGCTTCATCTGTTAAAAAAGAAAAAGGAATCTTGATATTTATGTGGTCCTATTTTTAATACATCAATGATTCTAGAAATTTCTTAGAAGAATTGAGGCATGTTAAATGAATGCTGCCCTTAGGTTTGATTCCTTTCCCTGTAATAGCAAGATCAGGTTTGTATAAACATGTTGATATTCCTAATAGATGTTTGTACAGGGGTGTGTGTGTGTGTGTGTGTGTGTGTGTGTGTGTGTGTGTGTGTGTGTGTGTG